GGGGGGGGGTGCTATAAACCCTGTGGCACAGCCTAAGCTTTTATCTTTAATGGCCTTATTTTTTATAATGTTCATTACTTTTACTTTTATACTTCAAGTATTTCTAAAACCAATACTTTTATACTTTTACTTGAGTAAAAAGCTCGAGTTTATACTTCTACTTCCAAAAAAAGTATTTTTAATCCCTAGTATCTATACTTCTACTTAAGTAATGAACGTGAATACTTTCGACACCTCTGAAGAAGAGCATCATGAAATACTCAAATCAGCTCATAGATTTAGATTTTATATGGTCTTGTGGTCCAAAGATAAACAATTAAGTGTTATTGAATACAGAATTTGTGCTTTCTAATACCAACCACCTGCGCTGAAAGTACAAGAAATAAACATTCGGAACTGTTCAAATAAACTCATATATAATTTGTACTTTTTCAAAGAAATTCACAGTCTGAACATAAGCAATCTAAGTCTTAGACAGCAAGTCAGCTAAACTATGAGCTCGGTAGGTATTTCGTATATGTATTAAACAGCCCAGCTGGTCAGTGTAAACTCCCCTGAGTATCAAAGCACACAGGTCAGGTGTGAAATCAGAATGGAGGAATGTTTCATTTCAGTGTTTGTTTTACCACTCGGTTTTGCTGCGCACCATCATCTCTCGGCAAGCTTGAGAAATGTGTGTGGTCGTAGAAGAGTGGAAGAGGTGAAGCAACTGAAATGTTGACTCAGTTGTCCTCCCTCATGCTGTGCTTTGGCTTTGCTCCTATTCTCAAAGCTGGCTGTAAGCAGGAGGATTTAACATCCCCTACAGTGGCAAACCCCATGGAGGATCTGTCTTCAAGTGTCCTATTGTTTCCAGTCTGTCTAAGTACATGTACTGATACTATTTATTTTATTTTATTTTATTTTTCTGGAGGAAAAAAATATTGAAATGGCAGCACAATGGAAAAAAAAATCAGCATATTTGGAGTTCTGGTTTCATAGACCGTGTCTACTCTTTGACTGGTATTTCATCACTTTTTTTGAAGTTCTGTTGTAACTCTCAAGGCCAAAGCTTTTATACGAGTAGTCATCTGCTACATTCATTTTGAACTTTCTTGGGGAAATTGAGTATAAACCAGAGATAGTGTTTAAATAAACTAGACCAGGACTAGATTGTGTTCCTCAGCCGGATGGAATCAGACATTTAGCAGTCTCAATTATTGGCCGTGATGGATGCTGGCTGTATTCTCTGCCTCGTGCTTAGCTTGTGTCCCTTGTATTGTCTAAGTCATTTTGCAGACTTCCTTTAGGCTACATGGTCAGTCTTCACAGAAGCTGAGGAAGAAGTGGCTGTCTTTGAAGTATAAACACATGGAACTCTTTTCAAGCACTTCAAAGAACACATTTGAACTTTTCATGTATACAACTTTTGTAGTGCAAACTCTTATGGCTGGACAGTTTTAGAGCAAGACACATTTTAGATTTTGGTTGCCCAGTTCATTTTGCTGTTTATTGTGGGTTTGAATAGTGTGACAGTACTGTTCTGGCAGCAACAGAAAAAAGTGAAATAAAACTTCCACGTGACATGACTATTGACTGAGTTGAAGTATAATCAAGCTAAAATGCTCATTAAACATTTGGAGACTAAAGAATTATCAAAAAGTACAAGAAAAGTCTTGTAAAGACAGTACAGTGAATCACCATTTTTCACAGAGGTTACTCTCTTAGAGTACCCACAAATTGTGAAAAAACGTGAATAAGGGATGCGGTCCAGAAAAGGCCTACTGTGCGTTTGGTGTGGTACGCAGTAAGAACCAAAGAAAAAGTCTCAAGAGCAAAACAGTTAGCAGCTACATGCTGGGTGGGGTGTGGGCACAGGGCATGCGTCACATAGGCCTGTCACTATAACAAATTTTGTTGGGCGATTAATTGTCTCACAAATCATTGCGATAAGCGATAATATTGCCTGGTGACCATTTTATAACTAAT